CGGCCAAAGCATAATGGCGAAGCTAAAAGATAGGGTAAAGCTTAAATTGCACGAAGGCGCTTGGAGCGCGGAGGATTTAAAGGACCGACCCCGGGTGCCCGAAGGGGACGAGGGAAGGGGAGGTTAAAAAAGGAACAATTTTTGTTGGCGATAGCACCTTTGGTAGGAAATTTACGGAAGCTTAACAAAGGAAACACCGCATCCGGACCGTGACCCGGTAACTACCCGCCTTTGCACCGATTAACCCTTAACACTACCCCGGGCGCCGCCAACACCCCTTTTACCGCCCCCGTTACCGCCGCAATAACCCCGGCTGGACCCGCAATTTTACCTTAACCAAATTTGTTAATAAATTAAAAACCAACCGCATCGTTTTTTTCTTTAAATTTAGCCGCGGAATTATTAACTACCGAAAAAAAGCCATTCGCCATTTTATTATTTTTACCGTTACTATCGCCGTTATTAACCTGCAAAAAATCGGCGGGGGTAACCTTTTCGAAATATTTGTTATAGCGATCGAAAAATTCGGTAACGTTATTGTAAAATTAAGCGTAAACATTTCGACGAAATCGAACGTTCCGCGTATAAATTTTAACGCAACTTATTAACGTAAAATTGCTAAATCCGCTACGCCTAATTTAAAAATAGTTAAAAACGATATTAAATACGAAAAACATTTCAATAAAAATGTTAGCAATAATAATGTTACGGCAAGCTTTAATTTCGGGATTTCCCGCGAAATAATAAAAAGGCTTTACCGGGGCCGGGGTATTGTCCGGGAAATACGTTTTGCAAACGGCCTTAAACTTAACGTAAACGCGGCGTTCGTATTAGGGAAACCAAGCCTCCCAATTTTATTTAAAGTATTAACGACGCACCGGGGACGTAAAGGATACGATAAAGCAAAAAAAAATTTATAGCTTTTACTTTGCCCGTAAAGTTAAACGCCCAAGCGTAATGTTTTTTACGGTTCGTAAAGCTATTGCCGGCAATAAAAGCAAAATTTACGGATTTAAGCTTTTCCGCGGCGTCGAGCATACGTTGGCCCGATTCCGAAACGCCTTTTTTTAGCGCAAAAATGCATTGTCCGTCCTTACCAACCTTTTTTTTCAAACAGCAATATATACATTTCCTTAATTTGGAATTTAAACCGAAGCAACCCATTAACAAAATATCCGGAAAAACAAAATTAAAAAAAACGACGAAAAAAATTTACTAAAATTTTGCATGCAAGCTTTGTTAAGGTTAATTTCGCGGGTTATTATGCGCATGTACGTAATGTAATTGGTTAAACCGCTAAAAACATTGAAATAAATTAACGGGAAATTGCAAAAATGTAAAAAAAACCACATACAAACGACGGGCTTTGCGCCTTTTAAAGTTGCCCGTTACTTTAAAAGGAAATAAAGCAAGCCTTTTCGTACCACCCTTTTTTTTAGGCGTTATGGTACGATTGCAAACCGCGGGGAGCCGAAACGAAATATTAACGAAGCGCTGGAAATGTACGGTTTTACGATTAAACGTTAAATGGGTTGCAAAGTAACGGAGGCTAAAAAGGGAGGATTTACAACGGTTGTTGCTGTTGTTATTTTGCAATTGCTAATGGTATTTTTTGGTAAAATCGCGTAAAGGATTAAAAAAAAAAAAGCGGAAAAAGCCGCGATATATTAACTTATTTGCTAAAATTAATAAAAAAGGAAAAAGCGACGGGAAAGTTTTAAATTAGTACAAAAACGTGCACCCAACGACGCGACCTAAATGCAACGAACGAACCAATTTCCAACCAAACTACAATACTTTGCTTCGAACAATAACAACTTTTTTTTTTACCGAACGTTTGGAAGTGCGGAAAATACCTTACAAATAATTACTTACGAAAACGACGCGGAATAAAAAATACTTCGAAGGGAAAGAGTTTTTACCCGGCTTTACACCAAATAGCTATCGGCTGGAAGCACGGTTTTTACCTTTAAATAGCTACCCCGATCCGTAATGCTCCCCATGGGCTATACAGCTCGAAAGGGGTAAATAAATTTATATATACGGCAAATTGTACAATATGCCGCAAAACCAATTAATTAATTTAAAAAAACAAATTGTTAAATTTATAAATAAAGGTTAAATTTAAGCAAATTTTTTACCAATAGCAATATTAATGCTTATAATAAACAAACCGGAAAAAAGGTAACGCTTATGCGTAAATTACAAAGCTTTAAATAGCATTATTTAGCATAACCGTTACCTTTTTCCATTAATAAAAAAAACATTGCAAAACGTTGCTAAAGCGCGTTAATTTACAAAAATAAACGTGCAAGCAACGTTTTATAAAATAAAAATAGCAAAAAGCTAAAAGCATTTAATAGCATTCGCAACCCGGTTAGGGTTGTTCGAATGGCTTGTATGCTTATTTGAATTTGCAAAAGCACCCGCAACCTTTTAAAAAATATATTAATAAAGTATTAACGAACATTTTAAGAAAATACGTAATTGCATATTTAAATAACGTATTAATATATACGGTAAGCACGCGTTAAAATTATATAAACAAAATTCGAAAAATGTTGCAACGCTTAAAAAATGCAAGCTTAAATTTAAATTTGTTTAAAAGCGCGTTTGCGGTAATAAAAGTAAAATATTTGGGTTATATCGTAAAAACGGGAATGGGGATTTAAGCAAACCCCGAAAAAATCCAAGCAATAAAAAATTGGAAAGCGCTACGGAAATTAAAAGGATTGCGGGGATTTTTGGAATTTGCTAACTTTTACCGCAATTTTATTAACCAATTTTTGGAAAAAGCGGCGTTATTAATAATATTAACGAAAAAAAGGGCATTATTTTATTAAACGCCAAAAGTTAACGCGGCATTCGAAGCGATAAAATTGGCTTTTTTGCAAGCTTTAATGCTGGTACAATAAAATCCAAATTTAAAAACGCGCATAAAAGCGAATTGCTTCGGAAAAGCATTTAAAAATTATTTATTCCAACAAAAAAAAATGGGTAAAGAAAACCGCTTTTGCCTCCCCAACCTCGCGACGGGAAAACGCTATTAAATACAACAAATTTAACATTAAATTTAAACTCTTCGCTTCCGGCTCGCTACCGGACGTATGTCCGCGCGCGAGCGCGCTTCCGGCGCGGTTGCTAGCAGCGCCAGCAGCCCCGAAGGCGGCGGAGCGGTTACCAACCGCCCCAAAGCCAGCAATAATACCACCATAACTAACGCTTTTAACCCTTTCCCAACGCGCACCCGTATTGCAAATTTAAAAAATTAGCTAATCGAAACATTAAAGCTTTTTGTACCCCCCGGTAGCACCGAATTAATGCTTAAAATCGTAAAGGAATAAACCAAAGCCGTAACAAACGCGTTCGAAACGCGGTTTCGCAACCATTGCAACCATATGTTTAATTACTTTTGCATTATAAAAAACAAAATTATCGTTAAAATACGCAACGCCCGCAAGCAAATTACCAATTACGCTTCGATTTTAGCAACCGGTTTGCCGCAAAGCGGTTAAACCGGCAGCCACCCGCTTACGATCCGCTTTTACGCATTTTTTTAATACCGGCCCCCCCCCCCCCCCCCCAAAATATATTTTCGCGCGCACCGAACGCGAAATTATTATTTTAACCGAAAACGTTTTTTTTAAAATTGCGAACCGTATACCCGTTAAAATTACCATTACATTAATTAAAAAATTCGGTAATAACGTAAAAGCAACGCGCAAGCTTTTTAACGATAACGTAATAATTTTATTCCATATAACCGCCGCTAAATATACGAAAAATATTGCGTAAATTATTAAAGTATTTAGCAATAAAGCAATATATTAAACCCGAATTTATAACGTTGTAATTAAAAGCATTCGATAAAACGCAATTAATAATAACAACATTTTACTGCACGAATTTAAAGCGTATAATATTAAGGCCAAAATTAATTCCATCCATATATAAAACGCCCGGCAACCGGAAGGATACGCTACGGTATTGGTTAGGATTACATTCCCCGTTATAGCCCAAACCGCATGCAATAACGGTTTCGTATTTAAAAGCGAAATTTTTAACGTTAAACCGTTTGCAACGGGAGCGAAAACCGTTTAATGCTATAAATGTTACGGGTAAGGATATAAATCGAAATTTTGCAAAAAAGCGGTTCGTTGCCCGCATTGCGCCGGGCCGTTGCATAGCAACGGCAAAGCCGGGGAACTTTTATACCCGTTGTACGGGGGTTAATTTGTTGCAAAAAAAAGCGAGCCAAAATGTTATAATTGCGGAAGCAATTACCCGGCCTTTTAACAAACGTGCTTTGCAACGAAAAAAAAATTAAAAAGGCTAAAAATACATTTTTAAACCGGCCGAAACAATTTGCTTTGGAAACGGGGAACGAACGCGCACCCCAACCGAACCAAATAAACCACTTTACCGTTTATACTTTCCCGCTTTTTATATTTATCCGCTCCTTACCCGGCCCTTTTTAACCGTTACAAAAAAAGGACAATTTGTTTAATTTAAAGTTGCTAACGAAACGTAAACGGGATGGTTTTTTATTAAAAACAACGAAAGCAAAAGAAAATTTCCTAGCTAAAAAACGAATAAGCAAATTACGAAAATTCCGCAATAAAAAAACGTTAAGCTTTTTTAAATTCGCTTTTAGGATAAACCAATACTTTACAAACCCAAACCTTGCCCTTTTCGGCTTTAACAAAATAGCGGAAACAAAGGGAATAAACGAATGCCGGGCTGTTAACGACTTAACGGCACCCAGTAATACCGCGGTTACTAATTTTAACTTTGCCAATGCACCAAATTACAAAGCCCTTTCCTTTTCCCCCAATTTACCTTTACTTTAACCGCTTGCATTTTAACCAATCCAGTTCGGCTTTATACCGGTACCGTTTAGCTTTTTTGCAACCGGAATTACGTTTATTTTTAGCCAGCCAATTAATAACAACAACAACGTATAAAATTAAATATATTATATTAAAACATAGGAAAAAGCAAAAGGAAAAGCGACTTCCCCCTTTATAGCAACAAATAATACAACATTTTAGCCATTTAAAAGCCAAAGCGCAACCAGCACGGGAACCCTTCGAAACCGTACGGTTGCAATTACAAGCTTATTTATTACTAAGGATTTAATTTTAACGCAGCACTTTACGTGCACAACCGTTTCGCTTTTAAGTTGTAAACCGCTTGGTACGGTTACGATTGGGCTTTAATTACAATTATTACGCTAAAAAGCTTATTAAAAATATATTCGATATACTTTTTAAATTTTAAAGCAAGCTTTAATTAAGCAACGCTTTTTATTACAATCGCTATTTACTTAACCCAAAAGCATATAATCCTTACAAACGATTTTAACTTTTATTACCCAATTTAGAATTTACATAATAAATATAACGCAAAAAGCAAAACTTTTTTAAAATTAGCACGTTGCAAACGATTTAAACTAGTAACGCTTTACGGAAAGGTTACAAAAAGGAAACGAAAAGAAAAAAATAGCACAATTAATTACGTTTGGGTAACGCAACAATTCGAAATGGAATATTTAAAATAAAACAATACGATAAAAAAGTTTAACCATTTATTTTAAATATTCCGCGTTTTTTTTTAAACCGCAACAATTCCAATTCCGACAAATTAAAAGCTAAAAATGGAAAAACGTTAAATTAACAAAAAAATTAGCAAAAGCTAAAGCTAAAATGGTTAACAAATTAATAACGATTGGGAATATGTATAACGTTAAAGCTATAAATAAAAAAACCAATAAATTAATGCAATAATTAACCCAATTTGCTAACCAGCTAGCCTTTTAACGGAAACCAAGCCCTTTTAACAAACGCGCCTTTTATTAAACATAAAAATTTAACGATTTCCGTAAAAAGGCAAACCGCTTGCAACGCGCTTTTACTAAAAATAATATGCAAATAGTATGGGAAGCGTATAAAGCCGCGGACAAAGCATTTGTTAAAAAAAAACGCTAAGCAATGTTTAACCATTGGAAAAGCGTCGTTTCCGCAGCGGGACAAAATATTAAAAAAAACGGCGCATTTTGGAAATTCGAAAAATGGGCCCGTTTAAAAAGCTTTTAAAAAAAAAACCCGGATTGGCTACCGGATTTAATTAAAACCGGAAAAAACCCGGATACGCTTTGCAGCCATTAAAAAAAAGCTAAAATTTTGTTATTTAAATTTTTCCCAAACCCGTTAATTAATATTTTCGATATTAGCAAAACCAAATTCCCGAACCATTTTTTCCCAAACCCTTTTTAAATGCCCGTTTTCGTTACCCCGCAAAATATTATAAAAGCAACGGGCTGCATTAAACCGTAAAAAGCTACGGGCCAAAATTACTTTCCGAACGGGTTACTTAAAGCCGCTGGATTGCCGGGCGTAACCGCTATTGCAAAATTTGCTAACGCAAAGATTGCTACAAGCTATTTCCCGAAGCGCTTTAAAAAGGCCCTTACGGTAATACTACCCAAATTAAGCAAAATTACCGAAAAAAGGAAACAAACCGGGGGATAAAAGCTTATTACTTTGCTGTTATTAATTTTAAAAGCTATCGAATTAATTATAACGAAACGAATTATTAACGAAACGGAAAAAAAAAGCATCCTTTTCGATGGCCAAATGGGTAACCAACGGGTTAAAAGCACGGAACTAGCAATTTAAAAAGTAATAAAAGCGGTAATTGCAATATGGAACTATAGCGTTACCGCGTTGTTGCTACAATTTAACCTATCCGGAACATTCGATACCGTTAATTACTTTCGATTGCTAAATACGCTAAAAAAATACGGTTTTTCCTTACCAATTGTAAAATGGGTAAAAGGGTAACTAGCAAACAAAACGGCCATTTTGCAATTCGACGGCAACATTTTAAACCCAATTCCAATTCGAACCGGAATTTTTTAAGGTTTTCCTTTATTTTTTATACTTTTTATTATATACATTGCATTATTATATAAAGATTTTAAAAGCATTTTAAGGATTTTCGTTACCGGTTTTGCCAATAATACCAATTTATTAGCAATAAAAAACATTGCAAAAAATACGGCCCGCTTTTTGGAAATAGCTTGGCCAAAATGCGAAGCATGGGCAACTAAATACGGCATAAAATTTAACAATACCAAAACCGAATTAATTTATTTTAATAAGGACAAAAATACGCCCGTAATTCGATTCGGCAATATAACGGTAATTTTTAACCAAACGGTTAGGTTTTTCGGGGTTTGGCTAAACGCCCGCTTTAATTTTAAAAAACATACCAAAAAAGCAAAAAGCAAGCAAAAAAAGCAATAACTAGCACTTATTTAATTTATTTCGTTAACGTAAAGCAATACGTTCGCAAAAAAAAGGCTTTTTTATAACGTAATGTGCCGTACGGCTTTGGCATACGGCGCAATAGCCTTTTACATAGCTATACCGGCAACGGGCCGCCCCAAAAGCGCCGCCAAATAATTTTAAAAAAAATAACGCGCGTATTTAAAAACCATTGCCGGGGCTTACAAAACCATTTCGTTAGCCAATTTCGAAATTAAATGCTTTACCCCCCCAATTAATTTGTATTTAAACGAAAGGGTATTAAAAGTAAAAAAAAGATGGGAAAAATTTAGAATAAAAAATGTAATTCGGACCGGTACCAATAAAGTGCAGCAATATTTCCGATAGCTAAAATATCGTAAAAAAACAAAAGTACTATATTTATTTAGCCTGGCAAGCAAGGACCGGTGGGCGCAAAAATGGGATTAATTGGAACCCTTTGGATTTAAGCCCGGCCCCGCCCCGGCAATTACTTAAAAAGCGACCAAAACGAAAGCCAATGCTAAAGCATAAAAATTAACGAACCGAAAGCAAAAAAAAGAAAAAGGAAAGGAATGGCTTAAAATTAAATAAAACGCTAAATGCAAAAAAATCCGCGTTATAGCAACGAAAGCAAACCCATTCCGGCCCGCAATTCCTGCGAATAAACCCAGCTTTAACGGTTTAATACTAAAAGCATACCAAAAATTTACCAAAGCCCAAAGCGCAATAGCCATTTAATTAAAAACGGAAAAATTGGGATTAAAAGCGTTTTTTTAAAATAAAAACGTTTTTAACGTGCATACGTTTCGTTGCCCGTATAAAACCGGGCAACGGGAAATAGCATTTTATTTACTTATTAAATGCCTTTTTTATGCTAGGTAAAGGATAAGTTCGGGCTGGGAAAATATAAGCTATTGCAAAGCATATTTCGAACGATAGCAATAAAAAATAAGCACCATTACCGAAATCGATACGAATTAAAACGGCCCCTTTTTACCCCCCCTTTTTTGTTAGCAGCACGTTTGGCAATTAAAACAAGCAGATTTAACGATTTTAAAGTGGTAAAGAAGAACAACCGATTAAAAACGCGAATACCAAAAAAACGAACCGCTTTAAACAAATAATTTAACGCTAAATTAACAACCGAATACAATTATTTTAATTACCAACCCAATATAAAAAAGTTACGATTATACGCTTAACCATACCTAGCATTATTTAGCAATAAGTTCGGGAACAAATTGTTGCTTTACATGTTTTAACGCGTACGGATTCTTTCCCGCGCCATTTCCAGCACCCGGTTAAAAAACGCCAGGTTATTTTTATTATTACTTTGCTTTATAACCGCCATATTTAATTACTTATATAAATTAAAAAGTGCAAAAGCAACGAAAATAACATTATTACCAAAAAGGGACCGGCATTTACCAATTGCTAAGCTTGCGCAAAAGCAAACTTTTTAACCTTTAAATTATTAGCAACTTCCGTAATATTATTAGCACGCGATAAAGCGTTAAAGGCTTTTAAAGCGTAAAAGGCAAAGGTTTAAAGTACCGATACCATATTGCCGGAAAAGAACCGCACAAGCTCCGAACTAGCAGCACCGGTACCCATAAAAACCCCGGCGCCAAAAAAAAGGAAATATCCGGAAACGGTTAAAAGCAAAACCAACACCGGTAAATACCCCGAATTTGTTAAGCCCGTTTTTATTGGTACGCCAAAACGTGTAAACCTTAATAATTAATGCGTTGTAAACCGCTTAACACCGTACCATACCGTTAACAAATCGATAAAGCATAAGGAACCGATAAAATTAAAGCAATTTACTAAATATTTGCGGCAATTATTTAACCCGAAATTGCGCATATTTTTAATTTTAAAAAGTAATTGGTAATATTTAGCAAAAAGTACGGCCGCAATACGAGCTTTTTTAATAGCAACGGGGTAAAGCTAAAGAAAAATACGTTAACGACCCGGCTAAATAACGGAAAGGAAAAAGGAAAAAACGATTTACCGTATTACACCGAATGTTCCAATTAGCACAAAAACGATAAAATAATGCGTTCGTATTTAAAAAAATTAACAAATTAATAAATAAAAAAATTACCCGGAATTATAAAAAAATAAATTAATTTTAAAATAACAAACCGCAATTTTGCCAAACCGCTTTTTTTTGCTTTGCTTTTTACCCAAACCATTAAGCAAACGATCGATATAACCCATGCAAATGTTACGTGCAAAATTAAATAATTAGCCGGAGCGCAAACGGAAAAAAAACGAAAAAAGCATTTACGTTATTTAATAATAAAGCAAAATGCTTTTGGGGATTTCCATTAAAGCGTTTATCGCTTTGCGGGTTATAAATTTATATCGTTAAACGAAAAAATTAAATTAAAATAAAAAAACGAAAACAATTTGGCGGCGAAAGGATAAAAAAAAACGAATTATATAATTAGCGTTAACCCGCGCGTTGCCGCCGTTGTTATTATTAGCGCTAAAAAAACCGTTGTTATTATCGGGCATTTTTACCGGAAGAGTACGGAAAGCGGGCCGGGTAAAAAAAGCGTTAAAAACGACGGGATCGGGAAAAAAAAAATAGCAATTGCCGTTTAACCATTATTACGAACGCCGCTACCGCTACGGCCATTACGTTTGGTAAAACTGGCTTTAACCGTGCTTTTTTTGTAAAAAAAGCCGTTAATTAGCATTGTAACCGATTAAAATTAAAAGTAAAATTAAAAATGGCTGGAAACGAAAAGAAAAAAAATGCAATTAAGCGCTGGAAATAAAAAGCGCGTTAAAAAAAATTAAAGCGATAGGAATTAACCGGGAGCGATACGATAAAAAGGTAGCGGTTAAAAAGGAAAAAGCATTGCATTAAAAAAAGGAAAAAAGCTAAAAAGGAAAAG